TGTCTGTCTGTCTGTCTATGTGTCTATGTGTGCCTGTATATATATGTATCAGATTGCTTTGGTGTTTTAGTATGAAATTCTGCACAAATGTACCCAGACAAAAACATGTCGATCCCTTCGACCATTACAAACATTTCACTGTGTCTGGGATCATTACACCAGCACTGCATCGCTTCTGTTAGTCTAGCACCATGTCAGCAGAACTGCTCCTGGCTGTCCAAGCTTGCAGCTCCCCAGTGCCTCCTTTTTTCAGCTCCAGATTTGTAGGAACATTGGATCTCTCCCATCAGTGAGGCTGGTGAGCTTGTGTTAACATAGTGTCAGGTAGGCCCTGGAACAACAAGCTGTGTCCCACTGTGCAGAGCTGAGCTGTGAGTGTAAGCACAGAGCTCTGACACCTCATCTCTCAAGCAGCTGTGTGGGTGTGCCTTATTCTCATATAATCTGTTTTGGATTATGTAAGGACTTCCACCAAGCTCAGTGCATCCCTTTGATGGGAATAGTTGGGAGAAGCTTTCCTGAGCTGTGCCACATCTGCTGCACTGATGTGACAAAGCATAAGTGTGTTATTGTCTTCCCAAATCACTCTGTGCCACTTCTTTATTTCAGACTGGTTTGACTGACTGGAATATGGTCTTGTTCCTGATGCTAATAAATACTCTTGTTTTCCTCTCAGAATGCAGCTGCACCCCCTGAAAAGACAACCTCTGACCCCAGTGGTGACCACAAGAAACTCAACAAGTCTCAGCAGCTGAAACAAGTTTTTAAAGAGTATGGTGCTGTAGGGGTTTCATTCCATGTTGGAATTTCTTTGGTATCCCTAGGAATCTTCTACTTGGCTGTGTCAAGGTGAGCTTTGTGCAGTTGTCTCTAACCTCTGGGCAATGGTTTAGCCAAGAAAAGTATTTAACCATTGTGCTTATTTCTGGAAGGAGATAGGTACCTTATGCCTATTGGATCTATGCACAGTAACCTAAATTTTGAGTACAGATAGGTCCATAAATGGATCTGATCTCCCATCAGGCACCAGAGAAGATGATGTGATCTTTCTGCATAGGATCACAATCCATGGTGGGCAGGGGGAACCAGCAGAGACTGCACCAGAGGAAGTGACCAGATGAGGGAATGTATTTGTCTTGTGGAGATACCTTTTGTTCTTACCCAGTGCTATGTTCTGTGGAGATAGAGCCATGCAAAAGTGCTGGAGCTTAGAGATAAACTTACTTTTCTGGGTGTTGAACACAGTTCCTGCAGTTGAACTGCAGAAAAAAAATAGCCACTAAAACAGGGTCAGAGTATAAAGAAAATACAACATAACTGTACAGGAGTCAGGTGGGAATTTGTGTGGATAATGCATAGTTGAGATCCATAATACTTCCTTCCCTTGATAGATTTTAGGCAAGATACTTGTCATTGTAACAGCTTTGTACTCCTGTGTCAGAACACTCTGAGCCTAACAACAGGGACCTCATTTGGTTTGCATTGATCTTTGCTTAGGTGATAAATTTCCTCCAGACACAGAATAGACTTTGTGGTAAAATTCAGGAAGATGAACCACAGAATCACAGAATATTCAGAGTTGGAAGGGACACACAAGGACCATCAAATCCAACCCTTGACCCTGCACTGGACATCCCCAAGAATCACACACCCTGTGCCTGAAAGCATTTCCAGCACAAATTCACACTCATTTTTTTCAAATCCCAAACTGAAGAAACAGATGACTTTACCTCCAAAAGTTGTGCTTGGGGCTGACTATTTTCCATGCAAATGCTGCAGCCCTGTGGTTGCAAAACTAAGAACACATTTGACTTCACAGAGAAATTGCCAATTTAAGAAAAAATAAAGTGCATCTAAAAATGATACTTTATAGAATGTTAAGGGGTTGGGGTGGAGTTTAGAGGTGATCCAGTGCCAACCCCTGCTCTGGGCAGGGACACCTCCCACCAGAGCAGGTTCCTCAAGCATTTACCCACCCTTTGACCACTCCCAGTGTGGGGGCAGCCACAGCCTCCCTGGGCAACCTGGGCCAGTGTCTCACCACCCTCACAGGGAAAATCTTCCTAAAATCTAATCTAAATTTCCCTCTTTCAATTTATCCCCGTTACAATTTCTACCTCTTACTGTTCATACCCCTTGACGTGTTGCCACAGAAATGACTTAAGCTGTTACTGCTGAAACATTGGTTTTCATATTGAACATTCATTTGCACATAAATTCCAGAGCTGGAAGTGTTAAATTAATACTTTTAATGAATGTTAAATTAAAGCCATGTTCAATTCTTTGGAGGGAGGGGGGAAAGGCGTCATATTTTTGAGTGTGCAAACTTGAACTGAAGGAATCTTGTTCTCTTTCCCCAGTGGTGTGGACATGACTGCAATTCTCCTCAAGCTTGGTGTCAGTGACTCCTCCCTGCAGTCCAGGATGGCAGCTGGGACGAGCACCTTCGTGTTGGCATATGCTGTGCACAAGTTGTTTGCCCCAGTCAGGATCAGCATCACTGTGGTTTCTGTGCCCTTCCTCGTCCGCTACTGCCGCAAGATTGGGTTCTTCAAGCCTCCTGCCTCAAAGCCTTGAGGGTTCACTCCATTTCTAAGTGTTCTATATCCTTATTGCAGAGTTTCTTTAAGAGCCTTATCGGGTCCATGTTCATGCTGACCTCATCCTGCATTTCCCACTTGTTCTTTCAGGTAAATGTCACTGTGAAAAGTGTCATTCCTTATCCCCTTTCCCTTCTGCCACCTTTTCTTTGGAGAAACACCTGGTCAAATGGTACCTGGTTTCCACTGGAAGTGGCAGTATAAATGCAATCTGGTGACACACAGTTCTGGGGGTTTCTAATCAGCTTTCTGAGCCTTTTTTCTTGTCAAAAGAGTTGTAGCATTAGTTTATTGCTGAGTAGCTGGAAAACAAAGATTCTCTTTCCCCTAGAACAAACAGTATCTTACAAATACTTCTTTTAGTAAGAAGTACATTGGAATTTAGAAGTGGTAGGTGGGTGTTTCTGTTGTTAGAAAAGGCTTTGATTATGGCCTGTCCTGCAGTACAACACATACACTGAGCTAACTTTAGTGGGAGTTTCCATGTGATTAATTATCACAGTGATAATGGTTTCAGTCAGAACAAATGATGCTCTGTTCTGAAACTGCAGCTCCTTCTGGTGCTTCTGTAGCCCAAGATTTTACTGTTTGAAAAATGTGATTTATAGGCTAGGAACTGGCCTTACTAAAGTCATTTTTATTGGGGGGGGGTGCCTGTAAACTCAAAAGGAATCCTGAGCCTGCTGCAATCAGTGTAACCAGATTTACCTCCTATGTGAACACAGTCCACAGAGTCAAGTCTGGACTCACAAGCTGTGAGGTTTTAATGTCTTGAGATCTGGCTTTGTACTGGAAAGGCATTTTTTGATCTGAAAACCTAACAGATT